CTGCCCGTTGAAGTCGCAGATGCTGCGTATGTTGACGGAACACTTGATGCTGCCGCTCACCCTGTGCAGTCAGAGCCGATGAGCGGAGAGCCCCAGGGCGACTTTGCACCAACGGAATCAGAGCAGATGGGCGCAGACCAGTGTATCCAAGGCCTGTTCCTGCACGTCGAGGGGCCAGGCTTGGAAGTAGAGCATCAATCCCAACAAGCCAACGGAACGCTTGCAGCCGGCCATGACACACACCCGTCACAGTCTGAACAGATTGAAGCTGCAGCAGAGCTTCCGGGCAACCACAACCCAAGCGCCGAATTCGAACCGGAGCAAATATTGGAGGTTATGCATGAATTCGCCAATGTCGGAGAAATCCTTTGTGAATCCGATGCCAACCCCTCGCAACTTGTGCAAGTGCAAGGATTTCCCCAAAGCCAAAGCTACACCAGCCTCCATGCATCCGGCGAGAACGAGCTGCCTGACCAAGCGCACAGCCACATGCATCAGCCAGGGCAATCTGCACTCCAGGAGGCCTCGGAAACATCACATGAGATACACGAAGGAGCATTTCCGACTGATGCACATCCTGGGTGGCAGCAGTTGCAGCAACACTGGACCCCTGCGGCTTTGAGCCAGAATGCTGAGCAGGAAGCATCAGAAGCATGGCATGGGTCCATGTTTGCGGACGAAATGCTGCCGCCCCACGCTGATACGGACCAGGGGCAGGAGGGGCACCGGATTCATGCAAACCTGCACGAGTTTGCTGAGCAAGACCTCAATGGTCCTGTTCTGCCAGACCCAGAACAGCAGATGCAGGTGCAAGCGCTTCAGGTGGCTGGCTTCTCTCAACAAGACATAGTCCCTCATGATGGGGCCGAGGGGTCATGGACAACGATCCAACAGCCGTCCTTGCTGCCAACACAAGCTGCAAATAGCCTCTCCGTCTTCGGCTGCACCCACTCGGACTCTGTCGCTGCAGGCAAGGCGGATTTGCGTGGTAAATTGTGATAGCTTTGAGAAGTTGGTAAGCTTCATTACTGCATAGATATACTACTAAAACCACTGCCTGCGCCCTGGGCAAGCACACGAAGTAGAAGTCCATGCAGCCAGCCGCACCAGCGGCTTTCAGCAGCAGCAATGTGGCCATTGCTATGCGGAGTTGTGCTTGCCGCTGTCTGGAAGGTTGGCCGTCAGCAGAAGGACGTCCAAGTGCTGACGCCTCATATTTGCGCTGCCACACTGGACTGTATCCCACGGAGTGTCACAGCTGGCTCTGCAGGTACAGCTTACTCCGCGGCTGTCTGGTTTCATGCCAGAGCTTGTGCCACAGTTTGCAGATGCAGATGCTTGCTTCTTCCTGTTCAATCGCATGCAGCATTTGGCTTTTGCTGGTGGCTGATGAGAGTGAGGCTGCCTACATCAGCACAGTCTGCGAACATTTCGCCGGAGGCGGCAATGCAGGGTTCCAACTGATTTTTTCGTGATCAGCACACGTGCAGCTGTGGAAGGAGTCAGCGCTGACCCCCCGCCTGACTTGCTGGATACCGGTTCCAGGTGGCTCTCCACATGGTTTGGGGTTTGGGGCTACTGGAGAGGACGCATGAGTGCAGAAATTACCTCCATCAGTCTCTGAATCTGACAGGACTTGGAAGCTGAAAGGTCCAAAGTGACCTGCCTGCTGGCCATGTTAACGACGACCATCCAAAGGATAGGAAGTCGCACGTGGAGCACAAAGTCAGCGTTTGATGAAGTTCGGTGTATTGTCTCTACCCTCGCTCGTGTGACATGTTATAAGTGACCTTGGACGGCCTGCATCGACTCCTGCCATCGCAGGCTGCGGACTGCATTCAAGGGGCCCGACCAGAGGGTCTGCACCTATCATGAGCCAGGACATCAGACAGGGACCCAGGCGTAGAGTTTGAAGCACGAGCAAGCAGCCAAAAAGCAAGAGACAATGCAACAACAGCGCATAGACTAGACTTAAGACTTGCGAGCTGTCCGGCCTTGGCATGTCACGCACCTGATTCCCAAGGCGTGCTGACCTAAGTCGGCAGTAGTTGCAAGGCAGCGGAGCGGCAGTCCTTACCTCAGGATGGCCGTGCCAAGCTTGGAAGACTTGCTTGCCGTTCCCCCAGGGGGGGGCCTAAGGCCAGCAAGCGCCCAGCAAGCGCCACAGTCAGAACGAGCCGAGCCGAGGCCGAGTTGGACAGGCAAGAAGAGCAAGAAGAGCTGGAGACAGAATGCACGCAGCCTGCCTGGCGCTGATCTGAACTGCCCGGAACCAATCCGACCACCCTGCTGAAATGCTAGGCGCCCACCGAGACTCGAACGAACGTGCCTGCAGAGGATCCGAGGGCATTCACCCCTTGCCTCGTGTGCGAGGAATGCAACGCAAGCTTTCAGGATGCTGTAGCACGAGGACGTGTAGAGGGTGGAAGCGTGCCTAGCTTTCGCCTCAGCGTGAGGATGCATGTCCCAAGCGAAACAGACAGTGGCAGAATGTGTGCCAGGTGGGAAAAGAAGGCCAGCTTCCAAGAAAGCGGAACAAGCGTGCCTTGCTTGACCACTGAGCACCACACAGGGGCGGCCGCTTCTCGCAATTCGCTGGCACTTCTGATGCAAAGTTCACTCCCCAGCATTACGCATTCGACATGCCACAAGTGCTTCGCGGCAGCACAGCCCCAGAGCGTAGAACCCAGGCCCAGCAAGTTGGATGCCACAAACGGTGACGGTGCTGGCACCGTCACTTCTGCTTCTATCGCGCAGAGATACGGGCGGCCACTGAGCTGCGGCCATGACGATGCATCGACGCATGACGACGACCGGAGTCCTCACACGAGCTTGACGGCGACCTCTGGTCAAGCTGCGCAGGCCACCGCAGAGCGGCAGTGCATATGTTAGAAGACTTCGAGAAGACTAGGATCGCAATGTCTCGCAGCTTCAAGGAGGCGTTGAGACCTAGTGTGGTAGTGGATGGTAGTGGTATTGATGTCGCCGAAGTGTATCAAGGCAGGCTTTCATCCTGCCGTTTCTCTTGTCACGGCCGCGAAACACCTGCACGCACTTTAGCCCTATCACGTGATCTGCTGAAAGGGTGCTCGCTGGAATCAGCTTCGTCATAAACTGTCATGTTGCGTTGATGAGCTCATCGTACAGCCAGAAGCCCTCATTGCTTGCCACATCATCTGCTCTCACACGCATGAATACCTATTCAATCCTATTGTGCCGTAGCTGTGCATGCTACGGCTGTTGTAGCCGTTTTGTCTGGTTCGTGCCGTGCAAGCATGCTTCCCTTGCCCATCCCTGCCACTCTAGCGTGCTTCACCCGGTTCACTTCGAGAACTTATGATTTCCAGTTTCGAGCCAGCCTACTTTCTTTTATTTCCACGTCAGACGAAAGCACGTGAAGTAAACCAAGCTGAGGCTGTTCAAGCTTGTTCAGATTCAGGTTGAAAACCTGCTAATATGTGGGTTATAATGTGCCCACCTTTGACACCGCAATTTTCTCGATCGCATCGAATCATCTCTCCATGAGGAGCCGGAAGCTTTGCCGCGCTTCTCTGCCGGTGTCTCAAGGCACAAAGCGCACGCCGGAAGCTCGATGCAATGTGCAACCAGGAGCTGCTCTCGCAATTGGATGTGGACGTAATGGACACAGAACGGCAGAGGGCGCAGGCGAGCACGGCCACTGCGCAACGACATTTTGGAGCTTCGATTTGGTTTGGTCTCTGCAGGCAGAAGCGGCCGCTTTTGAGGAGAGACAAAGGCGGTTAAACATCTAATTCTTGCAGCTGCTTCTTTGTATCATTTTGTGAACTCAGGCAAGCCAGGCATGAAGCCGCTCAGAAAGCTGCGGAGGTTGGATTCGATCGCATGCAGAGAGATGTAGGCACGAAGGCGAGATGCTGCCTGTATGCCAGGATGAAGTTCGGCGCGTCGAAGCCGCCCGTGAAGCGTGTGGTGTCCAAGTCAGAACCAACGCAAGGAGCAGTGTCCGAAATCACGTGCATCAGCAAGTACAGAAGAGCCTTCAGCGAAAGTGTGCTTCCGGACTGAGGTGGGAGCGGCATCGTATGGCGGCTGAAGAGTCTGAGGTGGCACTTACTGATTCGATTGCAGATGTACGGCAAGCGTCATGGACAGAAGTCCCGACTGTGGTTGCGGGCAAGTCCAGTGCAGCTCAATCCGAACTTCGTGGCTTAAGTTCCCCATGCTCGGCCGACGTTCATCCACAGCCAACGAATATATCTAACCAGCAGACAAGTCGGCAGGAGCGCCGTCAAAGGGCAAATCGCCGTGGTCTGATCTTATGCATCTTGTGTGGAAGGCTGTAGTTGGCTCGCTTCTGGGCTGAAGGCCATGCTCTCGAGCTGGAGGAAAAAATGCGAAAAATGGTCGGGCAGACTCCTCAGGAAAGTGTCTCAACATAGGCTGGCATGTATTGCAGTTTGCTGGAAGGTTCACGCATCACCCGTGCACTTTGTTTCATGAGGAAGCAATCGTCCAAGCGGAGGATGCAAAAGGAGGCCTGCTGCGTGACACTCCCAGACCGAGTATAAGAGAAGTTATGACAGGAGGAGCAGAGAAAGCGGCGAGAGGAGAAGGCGTGATGCGTGGACATGGTCACTCATCCGAAACCGAAGCAGAATCGATGCGTGAGGATCGGCGGAAAGAGGAGAGGTTGCGCAGCAGGGAGCCAAGGTGATCCGAGGTCGGCTATAGATGCGATTCCAGCACGTACAGTGTTGACGTTTATTAGACTAGTCTTGGCAACTTCAGGGCAGCAACAATGATAGAAGCTCACATGCACGGCTAAGTTGAAGCAGCAAAGATGTCGGAAAAGATTCGGCGAATGGCAGAAAGTGGCCCGCCCCTCGATGCCACCAAGTCAACACCAGAGCCTTGCAACAGCCCTGCCGCCGGTGATACTTGATGCAGGTTACGCTTTAGGCCCCAGTGGCTGGGTCAGTTCTGGACCAAGACGGATGCAATACCTGCGTCTTGCGCAGCCGTGTCTGCTCATCTCTTGATTTCGCTGCTCAGGACTAGATTGGCTGTCAGCCGGTGGACAGGCAGATGTGGGCACGCCTAATTTTGAGGCGTGTGTAGAGTGCGTGTACCTGCTGTTTGTATCGGTCAGCAGTCGCTGCCGACTACCAGGTAGTGAAGGGACCAACGGAAGAAGAGGACCTTGCATCGCGCTCTGAACGAGCCAGTGTGGCGTGGAATGCTACAGCCTAGCTCGAAAAGAGACAAAAGCTTCACCATTCCAGAAGGCAGTTCAAGGTGATCAGGTTCAAGGATGGCCCGAATGTAAGGGCACTGTGTGGGTCGTAGAAGAGGCATGAAGAGGCCGGAGACCCTGCACTTGGATCGCTGGGCCGGCCAACACAGCGAGGCGACAAGTTGGTCAAGATGCATGTTTGTTGGTGGAGCCCTGAGTCAGAGAGAGACGGGATACAGGAAGGGAAACAAGGAGATTGTGAACGGCACAACAGTTGCCAGGAAGATGGAGCCACCCAATTATGCAACATGAAGCGTCAAAGCGCAACAAATTATCAGCTTTCCAGCACGTCGTGCCGTTTCCAACGGATCTTTTCGAGAGAAGGACCTGTATTCCGATTGGCTGCGAGCACAGGAGAGTGATGCTGCCGAAGGCCACGGCTGTTGATCTGAGACCATCATCACAGCGTCACGGTCCAGCTAAAGCTCTCTGCATGTGCTCCCAATGTGCAGATCACGCAGCCGCCGACGCTCATCAGGCAGACCCCTTCGAGGTGCCGAGCATACCGCTATAGTTAGGAGGCATGAGTGAAATAGCTGTGCGAGGTCGTGGATCAGAGGCCTGTGCCGGAGGCTGAACAGAAGCAGCCAGAGGCAGAAGGGCGGTCAGGGCGATCCGCACGGATCATGTCTGCAAGACGGCTATACTTGTAGCGGTAGCGGCCGTTGACTACTTTGCGCTTTCGCTTTCTGACAGCCCGTCTCTGTCGATGATGTGCTCGCGGATATCGACAGACAGCAGCGGGAAGGCCTGCCAACCTGCATGATGGATAGTGGTTAAAACGCCCACATGCAGGTTTGTACGCACATATGGTTATGCAACACAAGCATGCGCATGCGTATACTTATTCTGGTACACGAGCATATACACGCACGTGTACATATGTATACACATCCACACATATCCACATCCACGCATACACACACATACATACACACACTCCTGTATAGTTATATATCCTACATCCACATAAATTTACGGACACATGTATATCCATTTACATATGTTGCATATATATGCGCATGCACATACATCAACATTATTACACACATGCATGCATGCATGCATGCATGCATGCATGCATGCATGCATGCATGAATGCGCACGTACGTGTATTCATGAGTGTATACTATACACATACATCTATATATACACATACACGTACAATCTTTGTTTACATCATAAACCAGACAAGCGTGTGTGGTTGGGCGTGTGCGTGTCCATGTGCATGTATGTGTACGTTTTATGTTCTGTATCTGTACTTATTCTCAAGGTCTTTCTCATTCTTTCTCCATCGAAAGTAGTGTGAGTGGAAGGCTGGGCATCTGGAGCTGAGCCTGGGGACTTGGACACTGTGCCCGAGCCTTCCAGCTTACAGCTTTGTCCTCGCCGGTGGAAGCGGCAAACTGGAGGCTGGGAATTCTGGCAGCCGATGAAGAGCGAGAGCTGGCTGAAACGGATGCCGTCCAAGTGAGGCCCAGAGCAGCCCCCCTCCTCGTAGGCACTGTGCATGCGAGTGGCTCAAAGAGCAGAGGCAGAACTATGAAGAACTGGGCGAAGTCGAAAACATGGAGGACGTACCAAGAAGCCAGCAGAAATGCGGCTCGCAGGCTAGGGCTTTTCATCTGGTCACCTCGAGGACGAGCTGCCCCCTGATGCAACGCAATCAGCTACCAAAGTCTTGAGAGTGGCGAAGACCCGACGGCCCTTCTCTCGGGCGTCCTGCATGTCTCTATTGCAGCTTACTACGGTGCCCTGATGTGCGAGGCCCGACTGCAACTTCGGCAACACGATCAATTCTGAAAGTGCACTCAAGCCCAAGCACTCGGCAAGCCTGCAGACACGTCCTGGCTCGCGCCCTTCTCGATGAGGCCCTTCAATGATTTTGTGGAAGAGAAACAGGAGGGTGCGAACTCGTACGAGGACGGGCCCGATTGCAGCGTGTGGATCAGACTTCCAGACTTCGAGATCGTCGCAGCAGTAGTCTTGCTTTTGTTGAGCGGTGTTCCACTCAGCCCTGCGAGGAGCGGCAAGCCCGATCTGCCGCCATCCAAGCAAAGCTCCAGGCCAGTCATCATGGCTGGGACTCCGACTGGGCTGCCGGGATGTCCAAGAAAGGCAGCTCGCAATCGATTGTCCCTGGTGCGCTACGAACGAAGCCCGGACCTTTGCGCTTTCCAGGCTCAGCCACCGTTAGAATCCAGGTCTGCGACTCTGGGGCAGCTGAGGTTCCACCGGCCCTGTCGTGCCCGCCACGTCCCAGACCGCACCAGCAGGCCGTGGCGCCGCAGATCAAAGGAATTGGCATAGATCTATGGAATCTATGACTCGCCATGCGGCGAGGTGCGGCAAGGAAGCCGCAAGAACAACCGAAGCCAAAAGCGAAGCAGAAGCCGACTCAGCTCCCACAAAGTCGTTTTGTGCTGGCCTTATCCTGCAGCTCTCATTCATAGACAGCTCAAGTGCGTCACGAACGTAGCAGTTCGAGCCTGCAGCATTTGCATTCTTTTCTGTGCTGGGGCAACCGCATCGATGGCGGCATCGGCTCGAAGCAAGGAGACTTGTGCAAAGGTTGCGTTGTAATTCATGGTTGCCCCACTGTAGGAAGATTGTTCGCCTGCACACTGTGTAATCACTGAGTACAGAGCACATAGGGTTTTGCTGCTGCACATGTAAACCTTCGCAACTGATGTGCCATCATGGGCAATTTGCACCTGGACTGCAGCTTTGCACAGGGATGAACCGTAGACATGATCTGAAAGCTGTCGTGCTTTCTCGACAGGGTCATCCCCGGTGAGACGGCACTCTGTGGTCGAGTGTACAAGGCAGGATTTAGCTTTTACACTATGAGCCCTCGGTTAGAAGGTGCGCAGTCTTTCTGGCCTTGGCTTTCAGGCATGGTTGGTGCATAATGGGATCGATGACACGGTTCCGGAAGCTGCCCAGCGCTGAGCTTGAGATGTGCGCCGATGGCCGTTTTCGTCTGCCCTCGCAGGTCAACCTCGTTCCTGTCGGCCTACGAAATGTTCGAAATGTCTGTTTTTTGAATGCAATCCTACAATGTCTATACTATACTCCAATGCTGCGGAGAAGCCTTGCCCTTGCTTTTGAAAGTCGCTCGCTCAGACAGAAGCACTTGCAGCATCAAGCTGTCACAATTGCTCCTGTCTTCGAGAAAGGTGCCGTGGTGAAGGACGAGTGGCTAGTGGCGTTGCGCCAACTTTTCAAAGAACTTGATTCAGCACGCTCCTCGAAAGCTTGTGTGGCGGCGACTCAGATGGCGTCATTGATGCAGTCAGCATCAACAAATGGCGCCTCTCTGCAAAAGCTGACGTCCAAGCATGGTGTGTGTGTATGTGTGTGTATGTGTGTGTGTGTGCGCGTGCGTGCATGTTTTCCGAACCTCAAATGGTTGATTCATGTGTCAGCTGCCAGAGTCTGATCGGGCAGGCGAGTTTCAACATGGCGAACAAGCAGATGCCCATGAGGCGTTCGTATTAATAATCTCCAAGCTGCTGGAAGGCTGCATCTCTGCGAAAGGCCGGTGTTCGTGATTGCTGCAGCAGACAAGTCGCAGACTCGCAGACATGTTCACTCCGCCTTTGCACGCAGCATCGATGCAAACGGGGGCTCGAAACCTTAACATGAATAGCAGTCCAACCAAGAAACCTCGTCTAGCGCAGTCCCAGTTGCAGAGCTGCGAGAATGTAGTATCAAAAGCATGGGACAAGAGCCTGCGAGAGCCACTGAAAAATGAAGTAGGATGTTATGGAAGCTTGACAGCTTGACGCTGGAAGCGAAAGACAGTCGTCCTGATTCTGGCCGGCGTCCGAAGTTTAAGTAGACATGGCAGACGAGTGAAGAGACTGGAAGGTCTTTCCATTTCAGAGAAGGAGCAGCTAGAGCAAAGCAGCCTGATAGGCTGGACTCCTAGACATCGCATGTCCGTTTCACGTCTCCTCCTGGGAAGCACGCGACGTTGTTTCTCAGGTCACATCTTCGGAATGATGTTGAATCAGACTCGGCCTCAGCCTGGCAGTGATCGGCGATGCCGTTAGAGAGCGATCCGGTGCGTGCGTGCCTGTTTTTTGCGTCCTTTGAGGTCCGTGAGGTGCAAGACTTGTAATGACACGTCCTCCTCCAGCCGAGCGGAGTATTGCTTCTGCGTTACCTGCCCGTCATTTGGCGAGGCAATGAGAACGCGAGACCGAAAGAACGTTGTAGACGTCAAGGACCTCCTGCTGAGCTACACCACGGAAGAGCACATCAGCGAATGGAAGTGTGAAAAGTGTTCTCGCAAGGGGTGTGTGAGGCAGGCGGGTATTGCCCGGCCTCCAAACATATTGCTGGTTCATATCAGTCGACTTCAGCAAGGATGGACCCCGCAAGTCATAGTCGACAAAGATCTCACGATACAATACGACGGAAACCCGGCGAAAGCACGTCGGAAGGTTCGCTATCTGCTCTTTGCAATGATAGTGTACCGCTCCATGGGGGCAAATGGTGGCCACTACTTTGCTTTCGTCAGGGCCGGTCGAGGTCAGCATGAACAGTGGTATTTGGCAGATGATGACGAGATCAGATCCGTCTCATTCTCCGACGTCCAGAGAGAGGAACCCTTCATGCTTCTCTATGAGGCACAGAAGCTCTTTCCACCTGTGGAAACAGATGCTGCCTCGTGGCCTCATGTTAAGCTCTCGTTCATACGTTTTTCAGAGTACCTTCGCATCTGTCTGTGTTCAGCGTTCAAGCTCAGGCTGCATTCCTCATTCCATTTACTCAGTCACGTCGCTGCATGCTAACCCGCAGTAGTCAACTGGGACCTTCCAACCAGTTCCGATTGCTAGCTTTAGGGTCAGATGAATCCGAAGAGCCGACCGCCAGATGACGGTCGTGCATTTTCGCAAAACGGGGTTCCCAACGGCATTGAGGAATTGTTGCAAAGAGCATGCGGAGCGTACTGCCCGTCAAACACAAGGACTACTAGCGGCAAATATCAGCGAATCCTCACAAGCGTCCCAAAGTATAACGGATGACGTCGCGAAAATTCGCGAAAGCGTACAGCCGAGCCATCAGTGTGTCACAACGACTGCGGCAAAGACGGGATCTACAGAGCCGTCACCCTCGCGAAACAAGATGGGCACATCCAGCAACAGGTAGCCCTAGGACCCTACGAGTGTGCATGAATGGGCGACAAGCCACACCTTGGCTTGCGCCAACAAAATTAAAAGCACTTCCGGCCCAGACCCAGCATCTCGGGTCCAAAGGAGGCTCTTGGGCAAGATCAGGCGTGCGAGGGCACTGGGAACGTCTCCAGATTCAGTGCTTCTTGGGCCAATGGGTCCGCAACACACAACCACAGGGGCCTTCGGGCCCTTCACATGCCTTCACAAAAGGCATCGTCGGTGCCAGGGCTGATCGAGAATGCTACACCCATCGCTTCCACCTTTTTAACAACACATTGGGGCGAGTCCTCCCGCAATCATCCCTGCCCTTTTAAAACCTTTTCTGAATTAGGGGGAGGGTTTCGGGGCTCCAAAAGACCCTCCGAGCACAGTAAGCGTAAAAGCAAAATCAAGAGGAGCAACATCAGGAGCAGGTGCAAAAGACGCAGCAGAATCAGGAGCAAAAGCCAGAGCGGGAGCAAAAGCCAGAGTAGGAGCAAGAGCGCGACACCTCAAAAGTGGCAGTAGAGATGAAAGTACCCCTTAACAATACAATGCTTTCCGAGTTCTTGTTGGGGGACTCCCTTGTTTAATATCAGGGGGAAACGATAATACAGTTGAAATCCAATTTGAAGCACTTCGAGAACTCTCGCTCAGAACCAAATTGAGCAGGATCTTCCACAGATCCCGCTGAATTATGCTAGTTTGGGTCTGACATCCGCCTCAGTCAGTGTCCCCATGCTACTTTGCAGAATGTTTGCTTCGTCTCAAGCATGAGGAACGGAAGCTGCTGGAAGCAGAGCAGGTTCAGGCCGCCGCAGTGAAAGCCGAGGTGGCATCGTTCACTTCATGGAGTCTCTCTTTGTACATGCACTCACACAGCCACATCTATACGTGTATTTATTCTTAATTTATTGGTTAGTTATTGTTTACTTGCTAGTTCATGTGTGTGTGACGAGATGCTCCGGACACCATCCCTCTTTCGACCGCGAGGTGAAAGCTCGTAATGCCCAACCGGCTGGGCTGCTGGTTGAGCAAGCTCGGGCTCCTGTTCTCCACACTGAGGCCATCCCTGTTGCAAACGACACTGTTGCATCAATCCAGCAATAGCATTGCAACCTGCCAGGTGGAGGATCCTGCGAGGCTCGACCTTTCATTTAGACCATCGAGGAAAGATTCAGGAGTCATCAAGTCAATGTGCCGGACACGTCCGGACAGGACCAGAAATGAGATGGAGGAGGCCGGTACGATTGAGCAGAGCGGCAGAGTCCGAAGGGCCGTGCTGAGTGTGACACGTTGATCCGCTAATCGCAACACCTCCACAATAGGGCATCGCGTCAACACTAGTTGCTGCAGGCAGCCACGAAGATGCTTGAGACAGAGGATGCATACACACCCGGGACGGACATGTCATCCACTACTGCCGGTTCTGAGGCTGGCTGCTGCTTTTGCCGTAAAAGCCTTTCTTATTGGTTGTTTTGGTGCAACTTCGTGTGCAGGGCAGGTCGCGCCTGGACGAGCACGTTTTCGTCAGAGCTCAACCAGATCACGAACGCAGTGTAGACTTTGAGAGGCACTCGTTTGTTAGTGGCCGACATTGTCGCTCAGTGCATGCTGTGCTGTGTACATTGTGTACATCGTGCATCTAAAGTCCTGCTGGTGATTGATGCTGGAGCTTCTCCAGGTGGTCGTTATTTAGTTCCTGCCGGTGCAGTTTGCCGTACACAGAGTACGCCGAAGGCTTTGAAGATGATCGGCTGCATTGCATGTGACAAGCCACCGCCTGCAAGGGCAACTTGAGGCGGAGCCGCAAAATGCTGCAAACATTCATGCGCCTAGACCAACCTCGACTTTGAAAATTCGTGCATGCAAGTTGGTGGATGATCAGCTTGCTGTCGCGCTTCCGGCATGAGGTGGCTACACTTTCGAGTCTGCGAAGCAGAGAAGCTTTGCACTGTAAGCTATCTTCCAGCTGCTGGCAAGTCAGCGCCTTTCCGAACGAAGGCACTGGGCTCATGCCTGGTGTCGTAAACTTTGTAGCTCAAAACAATTGGGGCTGTATGGGACCTTTGTTTGGTAGGTGCTGGCCCGTTCCTTTTTCCTTGCTGTTTGCCAGCCTTTACTTTGCAGACGGCCCCTTGCTAAAGCAAGGTGTTCGAAAAGAAGGCGGAACTGGCTGGAACTCACGCATGTCTGGCAAATTCGCATCCCTTGCAGAAAAGGGCTGACAAGAGTGCGCTGATGCCATGGTTCCCCGTTAATCCGAGCATCGTAGTTGTAAAGGGGGGGGGGTCCCCCCCAGAAAAAGGATCGCGGAAAGCGCATTAATGGAATCTCTGTTGGCTCATCCCGGCTCCTTGGGCTCCATTAAATATTTTAGCGCAACGCCTGCCATGCAGAGTCGCTGACGATTCCAAGCGGGAGCCAAAAGCAATATATTGAATCTCCAGCCTGCCCCATAAGGGGTAGTTTGGGAAAGAATGAAAAGTGCTTCCTTTTGTAACGCCTTTAATAAGAAAGCCTAGCTTTCTTCTGAATGGCCTCAACTTTTGGAAAGCTTGGCTCCGGAAGGCAGGCTCTGTCTCTGCCGAAAGGCAAGGCCTGCTTCGGAAAGCAGCATTGCTTCGGCATTAAAGCAGCACGCAAGTTTTTGAAGCTACCCGAAATATTTTCTTTACATGAGGCCCCTATTTTCCCGATACGAAATCCTGCCGCAAGTGAACGTAGTCTTCCAGACCCAGACCCGGCCGAAATGATTTTCTTTAAATCTGGGGCCCTTTGTTAATTCCCATCCTCGGATTAGTGCAGAGGTATCTGCACGACATGTGCGGTCGGAAGAAGTGCCAAGCGCTGCAGGCCGGCAGAGAAGACTCCAACGCATGGGGTCGAAATCTTAGCTAATCCTGTGGTTCAGATTGAAGCGGAAGAAGCTCTCATGATGTGGTGCACGGATGTTGAGAGGTGCAGCTTCGGGAGTAGTGCTGGCTGCTGTGGTAGTCATGTCATGCGTGATGTACAACTGAGGCTGGCTGCAGCCTTCGAGGTAGCGAGCCCGTCCGCAACCTGTTTCGTGCTCGTGTGCAGCGCCGCGCTGCGGCTGGCCCGTACTGGCCCCTTTACTGCCGGAAGCGCATGCGCGTGCTAGAATCCGTGCACATTGCGGCTGCTTTGAAGAAATAGAAGCTGTTCGGGCACTGACGAAGCATAAGCCACATCTGGGTCGCAGCACTCCCTTGAAGTTCCCAATCGTCCATCCCACGGGCTCAAACAGGCCGGGGCCAGGGGCTTTAAGAAACTTTATGCCGCACTCCAGAAAGCCTTTGGACAGGGGCCCTCCCATGGCGACATGCAGGAAACAATGTCAATGTGGCATTGAAGCTCCGAACACATCTTACTTAGACAGAATAGGTACATCTTGCATTAGCCACCCAGAGTGGAGTTAGTTGAGTTTCTGGGATATTCACAATGTCCTAGCCGCAACGCACGTTGGATGGCTTGCGTGGGCACGCTTGCGGGACAATGCCTGCCTCATCCGGTTTGTTCCTCAGAACGCTCACTAGGTCCCGGCAGACTACATATATCGCCGGCAACGGCTGGAGGTGAGGTCTGGACGTCCTGGACAGTTCGCCAACTTCGACAAGAGTGCACGTTGTATCCTCAAATGACCGACTTCACCGCCTGCAGTTGTAAGTTGTACACTATGCATGGGAGGCTGGCAATTGTAGCATGTGCACTTAACCCAGGTCGAGGGGCATCGACTTGACTGGCTGCTTCGAGAAAGAAGGCATACTCCAAAGGCTCTCCAAACTCGCATCAAATTCATCCAGGGTCCATGAATGCGTTGCAAACGCGCAGCAAACACATAAAATGGTCCTGCGAGGCTCCGTGCGGCGAGTGCAGAAAAAGATGTTAAAGAGGAGAAGTTGCGCGAGCACCTGACTTAGGACATCGCTGTTCTCAGTGATGTTCGATCACAGGGTGTTGCCTTGATCAGAGCCGATGTTGAATACCGTGGTATGGCAGGGAAACAGATGCCTTGTTAGTTCCAGACACGCACCACCACCCACCCCGCTTGGATTTTCTGTGCCTCCGCACTTGGAAGCTGTTGAGGCCAGCCGACCACGACGTCAACATGAGCGGTTCGAGACACGAGGACATTGCGAGAGAAATGGCCGAGCAGATGCTGAAGTCAGGGCCAGCAGACGTCAACTCATGCCAGGATGGTTCTGACCCGGACCCGACTATCGATTGGCAGGCAACGATCAGAATCTTTTAAGTTGGGCCAGTGAGTGGATGGCAATGCGTGTCTCGTCTAGGCCAAAACTATGCGTGAACTTCGCCGAGAGGGTGTACTGTTAGGCTCGAACATATTACGTGGCCACGCCAAGGCAGACCTAGCCAGAGACATTTCAACCCTAGCAGACTCAAGCAGGTGTGGATTTGAGAGGCTGCTTTGACAAGGCGAATTGCATGGCAGCAGTCGCATGCGTTGTGCGATGTGACATGGTACCTGGAACACGGCGGGAGGCAGCCTAGACGTTCCTTCGTCGCCTTCCGACTGGATGTGCAAACATGTGTATTCTATTGCGGGCATGACTAGTTCGAACCAGGTGTCACTGTCTGGTAGAACATGGATGAAGTCAGAGCTTCTTAGAGCTGGTAATTAAAAGGCGGACATTGTTCAGAAGCTCAAAGTTGCCAAAAAGAGCGTGCTGAGCTCAGACAAACGAGGCTTGCCGACGAGGTCCTCAATTCTAAGTTGACTCAGGTACCAGCTGAGCGAATCAAATCCCAGCACGACGGAGCAGAAGTGTCTGCAACGGCACCAGCGCAAAGCCCCGAAGCCCAGAGCCATACAGCTCCCCAACACGCACGGCAAGCTAGCCCGGTGAACAACATGCAGCCAAGAGCAGAAGAGTGTTCCGACCATGCCATGCATCAAGAGCTTAGAGCTGGAGCTCGTGAAACCTGCTCCAGCCAGGCATCCCCCAAGCGTAGGCAGCCTGCCTCTGGAGAGAATGCACCGGAGCTGGCGGCAGTTCTCACCTACAATGACACAGGCTCCAAAAGCATGGAGCCAGGACAGGAGCCGACGCTGGAGGCCATGTCGCAGGCAGAGGCAGAAGCAGAGCAAGCAGACCAGCAAGGATCGAGAGACAGAGACGAGCTCCAGAAGCGGCAAAGAGAGCCGGAGCAGAATGGGCAGAACGAGCAGAGCGATGAGCCGCACAAGCAGCAGCGAATACAGAGCACCTGGCAAGTCAAGGATCCTGGAGACATGAACCTAGTTGGAGAACCCTGCTTCAACGCGGATGCTAAGAACCACGTGCATAGAGAGGCAGAAGTGCAAGGCAGGGTACTCCAGGGCTCTGAAATGGTCGTTGGAATTTTGTTTTGGTGTGTATGTGCGGGGGTGGGGGAGGGAATGAGCGCAGCTTCTACAAAAGTTTTAGCGAAGCCTGAACTTGCTACCGACAGGGTCTTATCACGCTTCTGGTGTCTTTGACAAGGGCTTTTGCAGGCGTGTGAGTACACCAGTGCATCTCGTCACAAGTCGTTGACGGGAGTAGCGCATCTTTATTGGGCTTATTTCGGTCTCTTCTTGGCGTTGGGGGTTGGGATCTCGAATGCTTGCCCAATTGTCTCTGAGTCCAGTCGCCAGTCACGACCCCGCAGTGCCGGTGGTGTGCCAAGTGAGTGCCAAATAAAGTCATAACCCGACCGATCACTTATGGCCTGCTGGTAGCTTTCTACGAGTTGAGCCTCGCTTAGATCGCAAACTGTTTGGCCAATAGGCCAGGCAGTGTAGGAAAGAAAGCGGCATGCCACGCCGTAACGACAGTGACTCCATCGATTCTGTCCTGTTTCCAGGATATGCACTGGAGGCAGGAGCCTTGACCTCTGCTTGGCCTTGCCGAGCGACCAGCGCCAACCACCTGCAGGTAGTGCCAATGAGAACCTTGATCAAAGAGTGCAAGCTGCTGGGTCGGATGCTTGGCACAGCTAATGGGCACTTACCGTGGCGCGTTTGCGCATCCGGTCCGTGTGGAAAAAAGAAGGCATCGATGCATCTGGCCTCTACGCAAAGTGCGAGGCCTGCGGTGTACGTAAGTGTAAGACCCAAGAAGGCGCGGCGCCAGTGTTTGGAGCTCCTATAAATGCATGCAGGTGATCAACAAGCTGATGTCTGTCCTGGACCAGACGATTGAGCTTTCGGCATGGTTGTGCGTGGGTTAGGATTGGAACAAAGACCTCAGCTAAGTGCCTTCGAGCGTCACCCTGACCGCCAGGTTTACAAGACGGCAGCAGGGACCTCAGCGACCTCAAGATCAAGACTTCGGAATCGGCCGCAGGGAGAACGCCTGCTGCACTCAGGCGAGCCAATTCCGAGTCTTGCCTGGAGGTTGTGGCCTGAAGCTTGCATGATATGTCCAAGCCAAGACATATCGACGCAGCCGCGGATCTTGCAGGGGAAGTTGGTTGTCCTGGAGACGTACCGGAAGACTCCGAGGCTTGCGGGCTTCGAATTTGGAAGACACAGATATCGGGCCGCAGCCTTCATCTTTTCATACCGCAGCCGATCTCCAGGTTGCGCTGCCTGAACCAGCTGGACCTCCAATTGCATTGCCATGAGACCAAGCTTCGTCTCTCGCAACACCATGTCCCACAAGAGTTGATTCACGTCCCCATCGTCCGCGTCACGAGGTCTCCGTTCAAAGAGTCAGAAAGGCACGGACTGGGGAGCCGAAGCTTTTCGGTGCTCGCAAGTTCTCGAACTTTAGGCCCAAGACGCCGCCCACGACAACTTTCTGCCCATGGTCGCTGGGTGACCCTATCCTCGAAGAGGACTCTCGCTCTCTTGTTTGGAGCCTCCTCGACACTCTAAATCACGAAATTGAGAACCCACAGTGGTTCTCCGCAGCATAGCCACAGAGTGCGGGAAGCTTGCGTCCTGGATTATCTTCATGTGCGGGCTCACATCAACGTAAAGCTGCTCACCGATTTCGTTTGTTTGGTGCATGTTCAGCCGTCCTTGGGTCACGTTTTCAACGGCTTTCCGGGACCGTCAAGCTGAAGTTTTTCCGCCAGTAGACTTCCACCCTGCGGCCCTACTTGGCCAATAGATATCGGCTGACACTGCACGAGGGCTTTCCGTGCATGCGGCTCTGTATGCCCCTCGGCGCCTTTGCAAGGAACCCGAGGGGCAAGAAGTGGCGCGAGGTGAAAGTGAAGAGGAGGTAGAGGAAATCATCATGGACGTGCAGGACTGGTCAAGGGTCTTGAGCACAGAAACTGCCAGAGCTGGGCCTATCCAGGAGGGATCGGCTCTCAAGGAGTCCGCCTCTCAGCGACGGCTCGTCCTATCGAGCCCGTGTTTCCTTGTCCTTGACTGAGACGCGAGTCCAAGGCCAGGAAGTCCATCCTCGTCTTCGAAACACCAGCCTTCGCAGGCGATCTTCTCTGATTTGTGCGTGGGTTGCAGTCCGAAGAACGTCCCGTTGGGGGCACGGTGACACTTGGCCAGGTGCGAGAGTGGAGTGAACGTGAGTTAACAACCATGAGATGTCTGGCCTCCACACTTCTCCATCGAAGTTGCTGCCTCAGGAGACTCTGGAAGGCACTACACGTTCCGGCGAAAAGCAGGATGCAGACATCCCTGTCTCGGTGTGAAGTCTTTGAAGTTCATTCGCAAGCCAGAGCAGTGCAGGAGGGGTCAGCTCCAAAGGAGTCGCGTCCCAAGAAGCATTCTTCATGCTTCACTGACTTCAGTGGATCGGTGCCCCAGGCAGAGCAGTCCATCCTCTCCGCGATGCCTTCCCCAGGCACCTGTAGCCTTCGATACGCGGCACTTCTTACTTATACTTACTTTTTCCAAGCAGATGTCAGGCAGGTCGGTTGGATTCTGCAGAATCGGCCGTTCTGCGACCGCGTGCTGGCTCCTCAGACAACTTTTTGTACGCCGTTTTGGCTTGGGTCGGGAATCCTGCAGGCGTCCATCTCTGAACTTTTCCGGCTTTCTCTCTCCGAGCTCGAAGCGAGGCCAGTGGGCTGAAAGTACTTTCAACCAGTTCCGCTGTAGCCATGTCAGAGAGGCACCCCAGCCGAAAGCTGCAGTGGAAAATGATACACCTACTCGTATCGACTACTCAGCGTGTGGCAGACCAAACAGTCGGATTCAATGCTGGGCTAAGGTTTGCAAGAATTCGGGGTGGGTCTTAGGCTGCCCGAGTTTAGAGGTGAAAACTAGGGACGCGAGCAGGCTTTGGCATAATCACAAGTGTTGTCACTGTCATCGCGAGCTCCGTCCCCAGATTCCAGTTGTTCTTGGCACATGAGCCGGAAATGCCCAAAAGACCGTCCTTCATTTCGTTGTTGGCCACATGTCGAAGATCTCGCGCTTTCATGCCTTCGCTGGGGAATAAATGGGCTACTTTGCCGCACTCGCAGGTGCCTGGCCGAGGGCGTGGAGGCGGTCCCGATGTCTCTAGACGCTGCAGTCGAAATCTGGCTTGATGAGGTTGGTCCCGGTGACTCAAAGGGAGTTCTGATCTCAAGGCTCAAGCAGGCATTGCCAGGCACTTACATCTCCCGTCTTCTAGACATTGCCAAGTGCTGTCCCTCGAGGTCGCTGACAGCTTCCACTGCTTCCAGCCCCAGCCAACCCCCCTTCCCTCAGAATACAGTGAGCCAGGCAGAACCATCGCAGGCAAGCCAGCCTTCTCCTTCAGAACATGCATCTCCCCGCCCTGCACAAGCCGAAGCCAGCTGCAAACAAGAGCCCGAGATGTTCAACATCGGGTCTGATGACGGAAGTTGCGAGGAACATTCCGACACAGACTTCTTTCCAGACCTACATCAGGGCCACATGTTCGGCACCACAGACACCAGCAAGCCTGAGTCTGATGCTGCGGAGCTGGAGGGCAGGCTGGCACAGTCAGCCAGGGAAGGAGATTCTGAGCATCCAGAAGCTCCAGCGTCGCCTGTTGTGAAAACTTCAGAGAACACGGAGAACATGGCGACTAACGTGCCAGACGAAGCAGGCGAAGAAGGAGGAATGCGGGATAGCAGCACAGCTGACGCAGCTGACGAGCCCAGAAAAGAATTCAGCACTCCATCTGACCCCGAACGGGAAATTACGTCAGCCTTCGATGCAACTCTGGCGGGTGCAAGTCAGGGTCCGGAAGTTTCAGCGGCGAGGCCAGGCAAGGAACCAGCAGAGACCGAGACTGCCGACGAGCTGCAAGATTCGCAGGACTTGATCGATTTATCGATGTGTAGATGTGGAACCCTAGCGTCACCTGCGCATGTGCGAGACGGCACAGGACCAAGACCCAGATCTGGGATTTCAAGACAGACGCCGGGTTCTAAGTCAGAGGATTACGCCAAAGAAAGCCCTAAGCTCACAGGGACTGCGAGTTGCATGCATGCTGGAGCACAACGACTTACATAGGGAAGCGGGCACGACCATAGACATGGTGTCGATTGTCGCAACGGGTTGAAGAGCTTTCTCGACCTGCACCAGTTTATAAGCAACCTTAAACAAACGTGCAATCACTTGCGCTTTTTTGCAGCACCTGCAGGCGCCCCAGGGAAACGACATGATACTGACTGATACTGTAGCGATTCGCAGCTCGACTCTTTTGTTCTTGTCGGGTCCTATGGTGGGTGTACATCGCCAGCACCCGAAGCATCTCCGGGGCCCGAGGTGCTAGTTTGACGGGTCGCAGCAGAGTTCTGGCTAGGAGGTTGCAGTGTACGTTCCTGTGAGTCCTGGTGTGATGTGGCTGTTGTTGTGGGTGGCACTTTGGCCAAGACATGATACCGCAAAAGGTCAAGCAAGATCCCACATCGCAGCAGAGTTTGATGTCGCAGCACAGAGCCGCAAAGACCGATGTTCTGCATAGCGCGAGGGTTTCTGTTTGTCGTCATGGATACGGATTCTGACGACAATCTGGTGTCTCGACGCTTCGCGGCCAGTCAAACACCAGCGATGCAAGAGCTTCAAGATGCAGCATTTCCTGCAAGCAGGATGCTCGAGTTACCGCTTTCTTGCTCGAGTTACCGCTTTCTTCAACGATCCTTGGAAGCTTGTCAGAGACCGTGCACCGATGCAGGCCCTTGCTCTGACGCAGTCCACGGTGCTAGACCCACATTGCCCCAGATGCCTCCGAGGTCAAAACGGTTGGTAGAGCCCGGGACACCGCTAAGCGACGGCACGATTCGCAAACGGCTCCGGGAGAGCCTAGGAGGTTACCGCGAGTGCCGAGGAAGCAGCCCTGGAAGCTCCGGCCCGAGGTCAGGACGACCTGGGCCTGGGCGACCCGATTTTGGGCTTGCGGCTCCGCAGCGGAGAGAAGAGATCGCCCGCGTAGTCTTGTTAAAGTACAGCATTTGTCTGCTGCCTGGGAAAGACGCTTTGCTCCACCGGTCCTTGTCACCCGTGATCAAGAAGATAATCCTTGGGTTAAAGTAGCTCTACGACTCGCGTCGCCTGGGCAATGTGCGGATTATAGTCAAGAACCTTGAGCTCTTTGGGCCTCCCGAACTTGGTATTTCTTATACGAGTCCGGTGATACAGCTTCCATTGCAGACAGGAAGTTTGTAGCAGCCACATCTGCAGAGTCTGGAGCAGAAACGTTAGAAGTGCGTCACCAAGAAGTGGCTTGGGCAGAAGACACCAAATCTGAAGCTTTACCTCCCAAGCCGTAGGCCGTCGACCCTGAGGCCCAGCCATTTACGTCAGTCTCTCATCGCAGCAGAATTTCACATCGCACCAGGATTTCACCTTGCGCAAGGGTTTCACATCGGGCCAGGATTTCACAGCGCGCCCAGGGCATCACCTCGCACCAGGGTTTGATATCACACTGGAGAGGGTTCACATGGAGTATCATCGCGCCCAGGTTTCACGCCGCACCAGGCTTGCACATCGCACCAGGATCTCACATATCAGCAAGTAGCATTAGACATCACAGGAAAGAGCTCACATCGCACCAGGGTTTGACGTCGCACAAAAGACTTCACATCGCACCAGGTTTGTACATCGCAGGAAAGTCGCTCATCGCACCAACACTCGGCAACGCACCAGGCTTTCGCGTCGCACCAGGATCGCGCATCGCAGCAAAGAGCATTGGACACTGCAGATTGGCAGAGCGGCCGCGGGAACTACCAACGAAGAGATACATAATGGGCGAGCAAGCTCATGCCGGGACACTTGGCATCCGGAAGGCTTAAGGATCGGCCGGCGCAAGTTCCCGCAGATGCCCCCCACACGAGCTGACAAAGAGCATCCGATGCCTGCAAGGACGAATTCTGTACGCAATGCAGCTTGTAGAGCCCTCTCGGCCGAAGCCGCGATGCTCTTCCAGTGCATGATGCCTGTAGAGTCGCAGGGCCCATCTCAGCTGAAACCGCGATGTTCTCCCGTCTCTAAGAGCACGCTTCAGACGAGGCCGCGACTGTACAGACCCTCGTGCGTCCTGTCCGACCTGTCCGCCACAGCGAGAGTGCCGTCCTGGTTCCTCCGGCTACCGCCTCGGGGAGTCGCCCTCGCCTTGTCGTTCCGGTTGTAAAGTATCAACTGCTACGCGAATTTCCCAAGATTCGTTGCAATCGCTGTCGAGCTTATGCGTGAGCCTCGCAGCGAGGCCATCTTTCCTTGCAGCACAAACCGAGGCAATGGTGGCAGCATGTTCGATTTCGATGACTTGGATGAGGCTGAGGCCCGGCGGCCCTCACACACATGCTGGGAGAGTACATGCGTACGTTACCCAAGCTGACCAGGCAGAACCTCCCGTCACGGTGCCGGCGCCACAAATGGAAGCCTCGAACGTCTCCAATGCAAAGCCGGAGTACCCTTTGCCGGAGAAGCCGGAAGAAACGACCAGGCGGCAGGCAGCTCAGGCTCCACAGGTCCCTCAGGATCCTGAGATTCCTGAGACACCAAAACCAGGCACGCAGCTCAGATGGTTCCTTGAAGTTTGAGGAGGCACCCATGGCGTGCACCTCCCGAGGTGAGTCCCATCCACTGCTTCGGTTCTCAACGAAGGCGAAAGCCAAGCTTCAACAGTTCATTGAAGCTGCCCTCTCTCAGTGTAAAGTACTCGTTTGGCTTCTTTGTCATGGTGCCAGGAGCTGCTTGAGCTGGCCAGGTCGCGGGGTGCCGACACCTCGGTGCACCGCTAGAGCCACAATACTGTAGGGGCATGCTGTACAAGTACGATGGCGTCACGCTTATCGATACATTTTGGCTCGACATCCTTGGGGGCTGCAGGTGGATGTTCGCGGCTGTGTGGAGAAGAGTGCGGAGCTTGCGTGAGATGCATTTCTGCAGAAGCATCAAAAGCAGGTCAATGCGGTGTAGTGCCTTTGAGGTGACATCGTCGATCGCCTCACGCGATCACCACGGCTAACAGTCTTTGCCTGAGCTGAGCCCTGGAGCTGCGAGTCGCAGCTGGCCGGAGAGAACACATGGTGAGGCCAAAGCACAAAGTTTTTCACGTGCAACAAACAAACCCGACGAAGCCGAAGTCGATGCTTGCACAGCCATCGCATTTTTATCTTGCACAGCTTGGGCATCTTCCGGCAGAGTGCAGAGTACGTGGCTGGAAGTTCTAATGCTTCGGAAATTCTATCTCACGAGCAATGCGATTTGCGGCTGAGGTTCAGCCAAAGTCTGAGGCAGCCCCACGCGGCAGATGCGAACTGAGAAGCGTGGGGAGGAAATTTGTCGAAATTTGTGGATTTCCAGCTGCATCTTGAGATCCGCTTGCGATAAGGCGCCTCGCCACAGAAGCCATTTCCTGGGCCAGAGTCTTGGGGCTTCGAGTCGTTCTCAAGACACTGTCCGAATGACAGAAGCACATACACATACTGCTACTTGTAGCATAGTAAAACTATAGTAAAGCGTAAATGGTGGTCTTGCCGAGACCTGAGCCGGTGCGGCTTCCGAAGGCCGCTTCGAAGGCTCGCCGGTCAATGCATGGAACCATTCTGCCTCGCATGGGGTCACGCAGTACTGCAGGCACCACCAAGGCCCAAGCTGCCACCTCAGGTGTCTGAACCAAGCCCAGGTGAGATTGATTTCTTTCCCAACAGCACTACAACGATCACCCCAAGCCGTGAAATATATCGGCAGAACGGCATTTCCTGCAATGCCGTGGGATTCGCGAATCACTACATAAGTTGCTTGTGTAGACCGTCCAGACTATCCGGCTCCAAAGCTCTGCCGTCTCTCACTTGTCATTTCTGTGCTCTTCATTCGTGCTTCTTCTCTCACACCCCGCAGCATGTGCTACAGCGGAATCGCTGCAATCAGAAGGTGATTCACATGTAGCATTGCTTGCCTCCGTTCCTTGTCGAAAGATATCAAGCATGTCCCCTTGCAGCAGAAGGGTGTTGTGCTAGCCGCCAGTGTTTCCCTTTCAAAGTGCCTCGGCGATGTCATCCGTGTCTTTATGGATCTCGGTCGCGCAATAAATGCTTGCCTGCTTCTTGCCTGTGGACCGAGCAAAGTGGTGCTCTGCGTGTGGTTGGCGATCGACATCCTCCCCATGCAACTGATCCTGAGGTTCATAGCCATCGTTGTGTAACCGAGGTCCAAGGCCACGCCATCAAGACCAGCCCCAAAACCTGGGAATTCGCCAATGCCAGATCGTGCCAAAAGGGCCGGAAGCTCGTTTCGGTTATTGCAGTTGGAGGCTTGAGGTATGTTGAGGTGTTTGGTGTAGTTTGCTACTGTGGGCGTCATGCGCCAAGGTGGACTATGCAAGACCCTCCCCACAGGTGCAGGCGGCCAAGGCAAGGACTGCAATCCGCTCGATTCTGACTTTTTGACAGATCGGTGGCGAGATCTTCGTAAATCATTGTCTGTCGTAATTCCGTGGGACATTTGTCGTACATGACCCCACCCACTTGAACAAGGATCGGCTCCACGAGCTAACGAGTGCAAGGGATCACGGCACGCAGCATCTTAAAGCCACTTGCTTGCTAGGCTGCGGAAGCAAGGCTTGCTGGAGAGGTTCCGGATGGATGGAGTGCCAGAATACAGACATGGCGCCATCCCTACAGTTCAATGTCTGCTGGTGCAAATGCCACCCTGCGCTAGCTGCAAGGTTCGGGAGGTATCCAGGCTTTTCGGCACTCCTACCTCCAGAAGCCGAAATGTGGACAGATCAAGAACTGGACGCAGAGTCCCTCAGTAACGCAGAGCTACCCAAGGGCTTCCTCGCCTGCCTCATGTTTGTCCCCAGGTGTACTTCGGCAGCAACGGTGACATCTGGTCCACTCCACAGCGCACGGGAGTCGAAGTCGGGGAATTTCGGAGAGATCTCTAGCCAGGCCGCGGGGCAAGAGACCAGCCTGGCAGAACACCTACAGCAGAAACACAGCGGGCAGGAAAAGGTCATTAGCGGCTGCGTCGCAGATGCTGAGGTTTGGGAGATCAACTGAGGGCGAAGAGTCCAAGCCGATCCCAAAGCCTCAAGGCGAGGCTTCACTCGTGGCTCGCAGCTATCAACCGGTTATATCGCAAAGCTGTGCAGGTCCACGGACATACCCGGACCTGAAAGTGCACTTCCAGACTCTCGACTTAGCCCGGCACCCTGCGAAGTAAATCTGCGGGAATTCCATGTAGAGCTTTCGGATCCACATTGTGTGGCCTGCTGCTCGAACTTTGCTGCATTTTCCGCTTGTCTGCCGCTCGCAGAATCCTTTCATTTTCATTCTTCTGCACCATGCAAGAAACTGACCTGTTGTAAACACTTCCTTGGCTGGAGTGAACTGTAGGCCCACCCCTTGGCAGAGCACGGCTTATTACCTATTACTGCTTACTTTGTCAGCTAGCTTGCGTCGCCATGACATCCACCCGGGCAGACCTCACACGTCAGAACACATATGCAGTGAGACGGCCTTGACGCTCGGATCTCGGCAGATTCTGGCAGGCGCCGACAGTGTGATATTGACGTGGAACTCTCGACTGCCTGCAGAAGCAGTTGAAAGCAAAACATTATATGTAACTATGTAATGTAATGTACTGTAATGTATCGTCATGGGCCTAGTGAAATGAAAAGGAATGTACTGCGAGGTGGATGCAGGCCTGAATGCATGCATGTCTACATTTGCACCTGCATGCCGGTGTGTGTTGGTGTCCACATATATACATAAAAATACGTAAATACGTATACATGTGGAGGTTATGCATGGATATCTGTATGCCTGTCTGTCAGCATGTGCCTATGTATGTATGTACTTAGGTATGTATGCATGCATGTATGTATGTATATATGTATGTATGCATGTATGTGTGTGTGTGTGTATGCTTGTATGTATGTATGTATGTATGTATGTATGTATGTATGTACGTGATGTTTGCTTTGCCGCCACAAACCTCGCCTGACTCCGCCGCGCGCGAGTGCTGAACAATGTACGTATGTGCGTAGATTTAACACAAATGTGCATGATCGCATAACATCACATCGTATAACATTATACAGCGGCATAAATCACTATGTTATGGTATCGTGCTCCAGAGAATTCAGCCTCGTGGTGCACGCAAGTTCTTTGTTGCAGTGTGGTCTCACACATCTTGGCGTGGTTGCCGAGCCCCCTCGACGACGGTGCTCGAACATAGTGATTAAAATTAAAAATGTAATGCAAACAATCCGAGGTAATGTGTTGTGTGGTATTAAGTTATGTGTGCTATGCCAGGGTATGCCATTTTATGCTAAGTTACACTGTATGATATTTCAATGGGTTAGGTTATGCTGCGTTCTGTCGTGCTTATGCGTTTGTTCATGTCCATGTTCTGTTGCTGCGTCGATCTCGACAGGCATGCAAGCCTTGCCAGGGTCAGAACCTATTCAGACCTTTCAAGTCAAGCACCTCTGAGAATCTTATGGCCCAGATTTCCACCACCCCAGTCTCAGAGTGTACCAGCAAGCAGGATGGCTGCTCGGAGAGCCAGTGTCAAGATCATCAACTTCCTGGAGCGTCAGATTGGAGTGGATCTTGATGGCGATGGTGATGTTGGCATTGAAAAGCGCCCTGACGAGAACACGTTCCATTATCAAGTCGAAGAGGAGGTGGAAGAAGAAGAGGTTCTGGAATCGGAGAAAGAAGCAGCGCAAAGGGCTTTCAATCTGATGATGCAGAGAACCGGTGGAGTTCTGGAGTCGTCGTCCGAGTCTTCTGAGGAGGAGGAAGCTCCGGCAGAACCCATCGAGAGAAGTGTCGCCGATGCGTGCATTCTCCACATCCGTTCTCCGAAAACGATCAGAGACTACTACACACTGCTTGAGCTGCTGCATGAGGGCAGTGGTAGACGCGTGTATTTCTGTGAAGATTTTCAGGAGCGCAGACCCTGCATAGTGAAGCTTTGGTACAAAGCTGCATTTGCCAAGAGGGAGCTGGACGCAATCATCGGGAACCAACTGAAGCTAATGCTTCTGCCACACCATCCCAATGTTGTACATCCACAGCATCTGCTGGAAGACGAGATATGCCATTATGCAGAGTTCGATGTTGTCTTTGCAGGAAGCTCCCTTTTCCAAGTCATTGTGTCCGATGCCTCCACGACGGAGCAGTGGATCAAGCGAGTCTTTCGCGGCCTGTGCCGAGGGCTGGCGCACTTGCACGCCAACGGTTTCATTCATGGGGACATCAAGCCTGAAAATGTCTTACTTCAGTGGCAAGACTACCAGGAGCTGCTCTCCAAACACGCGAAGCATCCACAGGCTTGGGTGTCGGTAAAGCGATCGGTGCTCAGGTGGAAATGCCCGACCCAGTTCAAGACGGCATGGACAAGACACCAGCTCGTGGCACATGCGCGCATCATCGACTTGGATACTGCTTCAGAGGGATCTTCCAAGACTAAAATATGTGGGACTCCTGGCTACATGGCTCCCGAGGAGTATGTCGGTGCATCAACTCAAGCTGGGGATCTCTTCGCTGCCACGCGGATGCATCCAGAATAAAGGCGCATCGTCGCAAAGTGCAGCAGTTGTTCCGAGGTTGGGGTCATGCTTTTCCAGATGATCGGCTGCGCATGCCCCTTCCATGATGCAGTCTACCAGGTCTGTGGTTGTTGACGCAAGCACTTGAGTCAAATCTGCAGCGTAGCATACCCCTGCAGGTGCTTCGCGGACGAGCGTTGGACCAAGTAGATGAAGCAACGCGACAAGAGATTGCGAAGTGCGTGGTGCGTGCAGCGCTGCTCTTAGCAAGGAGCTGCAACGGTCGCATCAAGGTGTAGACATGCTGGGCAAGAACGTGTTCGATTGCTTCTCTGTTTCAGGTCGAAAGGATTGATTGGACTGAAAGTCCTTGGCGCACCTTGCCAAAAGCAAGAGATCTCTGCCAGCAGCTGCTCAGTGTGGATCCAGAAGAGCGAGGCACGAGTCTTGTCACGGGGCTTTTGTTGTCGCTCTTCTGCGCCTTTTGGACCGGGGCAGGTGGCGACGCTGCTCAAGTGATGATGGCATCTCCTTGGCTAAATCCTCGCGTTCGTAAGCGTCTTAGGCAGCTCGTCAGGAAGAAGACCAGCGAAGCCTCCGGCTCGCGAAGTATCAGGGGCAGGTGAGACGGCCAACAGAGACCAGCGGAGTTGGCTCAGTGGCCGAGCAGGCGAGAACGGGTGGCCCGTCAGATGAGATCCGAGCCCGAATCTCGCGGCTGGTAGCAATGAAAGCAGCCTAACACCTGGAGCATCCTGGACCTTTGAGCATGGCGGCAACAGAGCACCAACGTAAATCACTTCGGATGCTGCGCACCTGCGTCCTAGCAGCTGAGTTTTTAAACTGTCAGCTTTTGGGGAGAATGAAACCCTCTGTAAACCTGAAAGTTCGAACTTTTGTCGCGCTTATGATCTCGGCAACTAAGGCGTTCTTCATTAGCAGGTGTTGAAAGCCAGAGTTGAACGCCATTGATACGCCAGAGAACAGATTTGAACGCGCCTCGGGCATGGCATACCCGCACTCAACGCCAGGCAGCTGCCCACTTGATTTTCGAGCCCGTGATGCTGCAGACAGAAAGACAGAACAGTTGAACTGCTTTCACATTCGTTCACTGAGATGGGGTGCAACTCGTGTGGCATCAAAAGCTGGAAGCATTGCACATGATTGCTTGATGTTGGCCCAGCGATGAGTAGTCTGACTAGGCTAGCGGCAGGCTGGAGTGTGCAATGTTCATGCGAGGCTGAGACCACGCCGCCTGAAGTCATCAGGCACGCCGTCTGGCTCCGTTTGTGCAGCAATATCACTGACCAAGAGACTGCAAGCCCTGGCAGGCTAGGACGCCTAGTTGTTGTGGCTAGATGGGAAGGGAGTTCTCAAATGGCGCCATTCTGCCGCAGACTGTCAAGGATAGCTCTTTGCTTGTGAGCAGCAGAGGGGGTGGGGTGGGCCCGCAGAGACAAGGGAGAGACACGGCCATGTACAAGAAGGTGCACTGCATGGCATGGGCCCTCCCCTATGTGTTCAGACTCAGACACAAATAGACAGAAAGGACAGACAGAAGCACTCAAAGAAACAAGGTGGTGCAGGACAGACGCAGGAACCCCCCCGGCCACAACATACTTCGAGACCGCAACCTAAACGATGTTTTATACTCCACAACACGAAATGTGAAAGCTGTGCATGACTCATGGAATCGAGGGCTGCCGAAATTTTCCGACGACCAGCTGCAAGTGACCTGCACAAAGTCAGCAAGAGTACCTCAGCAGAGCCGCAGCCAGGCGTCGAGAAGCTCCAAAACGAGATTGCGAATGAGCCAAGCGCGACAAAGTCATGCGAAGTCGAGTGGGGGAGCATGTGCAGAATGGCCCAGTGAGGAGAAATCAACAGCCGCAAGCCTCACAGACACCAGCACGACTCAGGCAGCGCAGACTCCGACAACGCTTGGGGGAAGCGGTTGCTTTCAAAGCGTGCTCCAAACCAAAACATTCTAAATTGCAGATCCCGGTGTCCTTCGACTCCTTTCCAGGAGCATGCTTGTTCTCGGACCGATGTTCCTATTCAGATGTGTGATAAAAGCCCAGTTTCGCACACATCGGACCCAGAACGACGGAACGCTGACATGCGAAGTCACAGAAGTCTGGAGCACACGCTACTTGGACTCTGCTGAGATCGACGTTCGCATATTTCCAAAACCGTTGCTGGCGAAGTTTTCTGGTGCCCAACACGGTAGTTCTGCCCAGAGCTTGCTGACCCCGCTGCTACAGGAATGCCCGGACACGCGAATTCCCCTGCTGAAATTTGCAAAACGACCACTCCTTGCACATCCCTGCCCTTTTTCCACGGAGCATTGCAGCCTGCCACCAGTATGTTTTTGCAAGAACGGGGGAGCCGCGACGAGAATGGGCTTTAAGGCCTTATGCGGGGACAAAAAATGTCAGTTCCTCGAAAGCCACCGTGACAAACCAGCTCTTGTGTAGACTCCCCATGTTTGGCATCATACGGTGTGCCGGTTTACCTTAGTTTACCTGTCCACGCGCCGCCGGGCGTCTGACTGCACGGGGCGTGGCACAGACCTCGCTCCTTTCATTCACTTTGTCAAAGACATTCAAACACCCAAACCCTCTTATTCTTCAAAATGAACTGTATTGCCGTGTCTAGTCGTTTCAAGCTGACGTGATGTTAAATGCTGCTTGCAGATCACCCTCGTCTCCAAACCACCTGAGGCGCCACTATCGCCGGCTAGCCAGAGACTGCCATCCGGACAAGCATCCAGACAACGTGGAGGACGCAACCAGGCGGCAGGCGACCCAGCACTTCGGCCACTGGGGCCCATGATAGACCGCGGTTGCCTTCAGTTGGCTGCTTGGCTCAGGTTTCAGCAAATTACCGAAGCCTACGAAGCCATGAGCCCACAGAATGCCATGCACGGTGATTCGCATCCGGCGATGTTGAAGCCAAGACGTGCTTAGGCAATTGCCAACAGGCTGAAGTTGTGAGTCGTACGGGTAGTGCAGCGTGCAGTGCAGCATAGGTGCGCCTTTGAATTGTGCAGAGGGTGCAAGAGCTATCCTCTTCGCCTTGATGAGCCTTATGTCTGAGATCGTAGACAGGAAAAGAGGACGACTCGCTTCTCATGACGGCGTCGGTTCTAGATCGCTGTATCATGCGCAGATGAAATCTAAAGCATCACCCGACATGCATGAACATGTTCGCAGCTTTGCTTGAAGCATGCGAGTGGGAATATACCTGTGCTTACAGTAGCATCTCGGTATTCCCCCAACGTTCGCTTAGAGTGGTGCACTCCGTCTGCACTCTGTAGCTGTGTGCAAAGGAAAGTCGAGGCCTCAATTCCATGTAGCTTAATGACCTCAGCTGTCGCTCTTGATGAACTCGGCTACGCCGAGCTGCGGCGTTCTCCAAGTAACAGTCACCGATCTCAAAGCAGAGGCGCATGCCAGACTGGAAGGGTCAATCGAAAAAGAGACTTTGAGCAGGTGCTCGGGGTCTTCCACGTAGAAGCTGATGCGAGCGAGGCGCGCAGAGATGGTGAGCCGATGAGCAACTGCGCCCCACCATGTTCCTCCGACACACTTGCAGGTGGCAGCAGTTCGCCGCCAACTCGAAGTCTCCCGCAGCATCCCGAACTTCGAAGTCCACTTGGTGTGCAACGGTCGAGCATGGCACCTAAAGGTCTTGCTGGTAAACAAATTATTGATGACATTTGGCGGCCGATCCGCGTTGACTTTAGGTGCTCCAGGATGCTGACCTTCTGTTTGAGTTTGAGAAAGATGGTTATGTGGAGACACTTGTTTCAACTGCTGGATGCCAGTGAGGAAAGCGTGCAACATGCAGTCGAGCCGGCGATCTGCATCGATTGGTTCCGGAGTGCGGCTGCCCGAAAGCTGAGGATTACACTGCTCAGATCGCCGCAGCCGTGTGCGGTGACTGGCGGCTGTTCGGCAGAATTTGAGCAGTCTTAACAGTACCACATCAAGTGGACCGACTTTCCATGGCAACAAGCCTACAAGCCGAGACTCAGGTTCTGATGGGGATCTCCTGATCTGGGACCTTCGCAGCGGCAGTTGCTGCCGGTTTCTGCCAGTCGGCGAGACCATCACTTGCTTGTCCATTGCAGGGGCCTTATTAGAGCGTCCAGAAAAGAAGACCCGACGTGGGAGTTGGTGCTGTTGAGGACTGGTCGGCTCGGGTCATGTTGAGCGGCCATGCCGACTCGACACTGAGGCCCAGGGCATCTAAATGCCGTCCCGTGCTGCCTTGTTCGCAGAATTCCGCAGACATGCAGAAGTAGGTTCCTACATAATTCCAATTTCCCTAGCTGCATTCTGCACTTGGCTATATGACAGAATCAGCTTTCATCCCAAACCCACCAGATTGAGGGGGATCTTTCTGTCAGTCAAGAGGCTGTGGGACCTGGACCGTGGCGTGTGTCTCCGAGTGCTCACGGATGCATCAACCCAAGTACTTCGATGCGTCCGCGTCTCAGCAAGGCAAGGGCCCGGTCTAGCTTTGCGAGCAGTTTGCGACTGTCTCAGATGTCGCCGCTGGCAAGGTGGAGTTTAGTTGGAATGCAAAACTTGCGGTCAGCGGCTGCGCAGCCTTTGGATCATGTCAGCAGCCTGAAATCTGAATCAACATAGAGGCTTTCGCTCTTCCTGTGGCACACAGGCTGCAGCATTCCAAACAATCCTGGAACCACCCTGGCACTCTGGGATTTGGCATCTGGAAGACACATCCAAGGCGGAGACAGTTGCTTGCGGCGCTCTCTTTTTGGCGCATATGACATATGACACACGCAGCCGCAATGCAGCCGCAGGTTTCGGCAACTGTGGGGTCAGATCTTTGTCAGTCGACTGGACATCGCATGGCCCCCAGCAGCTCCCAGCATTCCCGACGAGTTGTCACTCTCTACCGCTGCAATGGGTTCATGCTTCCTGATTTTCTGCGGTTTGCATATTGGAACGGGGGAGATTGCGATGTGCCGGAAAGCCTGCGACCTGCGAACCAGATTCAAGTCTTTTCCAAAGACCGGAGCGAAGTCCCAACATGACTCTGGAAATATGTCCGATGTTTAGTTCATGGATGGCATGCCGAATTTCGAAGCCTCCCTGCATTTTCGTCCGTCCTGCTCATGCTGAAACATGTTGAAATGACAACATGCTTGTCTGAGGCACGTCCTTGTCAACGACGATGTGCGCCTGCATCTGTTTTCCCTGGATTCAGGGAGCATTGTTTGGCAAGCCGATGCTGCATCGGCCTTGCAGGCACGAGCAATACTCCCCCGAAACGGCTGTGAGCCACGTTGCTCATGGCCCCGTCGTGCCTTTGCGCGCGGTAGCGTCTTGCAGGCCATGGCTGTCGACTGGCCTGCGCAGAGAGCACCCTGGAGCAACTTTGTCAGTTCTGCATTGCCCGGCTGTTTCCGGCAATCAAGGCAGTCTCCGCGGGTTCGGGGACGATCAAGGTTTGGAAGCTGGATGGCCCAGGATGCATGAAGGAAACTGGGGAATCTGTGCTTGTGGTTGCAGCATGAATGCAAACGGTGGGATAGAACTCGTCCACAGCCAGACGGACGGTTCACCGACCTGATTTAAAAGTGACTGCAGCACTTGTCAGGAGTTTACAGCCTGCGCTCATGTCCAAGAGATCGCGGTGGACCCATGCTTCGCTACGCTGTTTTTTGGCTGTGCTCGTGACTGTTCATGGTTGTTGTGGAGCTTGTTGTTGGTTCTAATTAGTGTAGCTGTGCGTTGGCGGTGGTTGTGCCGTGGCAGCTACTGTACCGATGCAGATGCTGCTGCAGCTGATCGCCGTCGTTGTTCTTATTGCTGTTGTTACTGCTACTACTACTGCTACTGCTACTGCTACTACTACTACTAATACTACTACTACTACTACTACTACTAGCCACCCGCCCCCTACCAACTACACTTGCTCCATCCGGGTTGGGCAGTGGCAGCTTCTCGGCTCCCGAACTGCGACAGGTGCAGAAGATGCAGGGGCTCAGGCTCCCTATCTGTGACAGCTGCAGAAGTTGCAGAGGCTCACTTTCCTCAACTGTCACAGTCGGTGAAGTCGCAGAGGATCAGGCCCCAAAACTGCGACAGCAGTTGGAGTTGCAAACTCGACGGGGAAGAATCTGCTCAACCACAGGTGGTCGGATAGTACGAAAACGTTGTAAATACCGTGCAAATCGCAAGTGCTGCCAAGAAGGTTTTAACACTCCTAAAACCTGAAGCGCAACATTTTATAAATACAAAAACAGAGATGC